CGGGTGTGCAGACTTGGCTCAGTGACTGCCAACTACTGGACAGTCTGGTGCTCTGTACTCTGCCGCGCCGAGGCTGACGACCAGGCGATCAACCATCCAGCGTTCCCCAGAACTGTTCCGGTTGTAGCAATTAAAGTGCGACGTCCTGGAAGGCCCCTCAGCTCTGGGATAGTTGGTCCCCTACAAAATGGTGTCTAGATACTCCTAGTCATCTTATCGGGGTACTTTCTCTCATCCTCTGTGCCTGGGGTCAGCCCTTCATCTTCTACCAACACAGAACTTTCTGCTCCGCTCTCCCCACATCCTCTCCTACTCCTCAGTCCTGTGTCTACAGGCCCAGACTGCGACAGTGACTCACCCTGCCTGCCTGATACAGAGCCTGCCTGCCCTCAGACTTGGCACTCCGGGAACCAGAGCGTTTCAAGTCAGGAAGGCGAAGAGTTTTAGGGGGTGTGTGGAGAGAATGGGGAAGAATAGATGAACTCTGTTGTCAGCTAACTTCAGATCAGGATGGAAAAACAGGCTTCTTCGGAATGGGTTCAGACAGGCAGAGGGTGTCAGGTTTCCACACTGAGCTCAGTTTCAAAGGAAGTCAGAGAACTTGGTTTCAGGTACTTTTCAACTTGACAGAGGGGGGGTTTGTCCCCAAGTCTTGTGCTTAAAGTTAGATTGAGAATCCTTCAAGTCCTTCCTTTTTCCTGATGACTTTTTTTTTTTTTAGACCACAGATTAGTTTATTTTTAACACCCATCATGTCATGAATTCATAGGGAATAGTTTCCAGAAGCTCAGGCTCCTTTCCATTGGTTCTCACCAAGTGTGCTTCTCTGGGTGGAGCAGGCTGGCGCTTTAGTTGAACCCAGGTACCTTTCTCTTTGGCTTCTTTTTCTGGTCATTTTCCTTCACACGTTTTAGGAAGTTATCTCTGCTCTTAGAATGTTTAATATGCTCAATACGCACATTGATTCTCTTGGCGAGAATCTTGCCCTTAACTTGCTTGTTCACAACAATGCCAATAGCATGCTGGGTAACATTGTAGACTCTTCCAGTTTTGTCATGGAAACTTTTGTGGGGCATTCCTTTCTGAACAGTACCCATTCCCTTAATGTCTACAATATCACCTTTCTTGTAGATTCACATATATGTTGCCAATGGAACCACTCCATGTTTTCTAAAAGGCCTAGAGAACATATATCGGGTGCCTCTCCCTTTATCCCTTTGTGTTCATTTTGGTTAATTACTGGAAGATGGTGGTTCCGGCCAAAAGGCTCTCCTAATGACTTTTATCTGTAGAGTCTGTTTTCTTCAACTGTTGTTCTAAGCCTAGGGTCTGCCAAAAAGCTGAAAGGCTAGTGAAAAATGACCTTTCTTATCCATCCTCACACCAAGCAAGCATGACTTTGGTTATGTCCATATGAAATTATTCATAGAACTACCTTCTGCTTACCTTTGATACAATATTTTGCAGAACGGGAACTCCAGGACCATCCTAAACCAAGGTGTGGGGGTTATGGCACAATGAACTCAGCCCCCTTGGGCCTCTCTAGGTACTCGCGTCCACCTCCCCTGTTTTCCTCCTGAATGGCGGAATCCATTCTTTAACCTAAAGTACTGGCTCTACGAAGTTGCTTCACATGATTCCACACCGTGTGCAGGGAGGCGGGGAACAGCCTAGACCCTCTCCTCCATCTTTCCTTTGTTTACCTCTGCTCCCTGTCAGACCTTCCCTACTGCCTGCTGGGTTTCCCCTGCGTCAGGATGCACTGTGCATGCACACCTGCCCAGTCTGGCCCTTCCAGCAGGCAATTCCCTCCTCTGATACCCTAACCACTGTTTTATTTATTCTGTTTTTCCAACAAGGGTATTTTTATTTTCTGTTTAAAAATAAAAAACAAGAATTTCAACAACAGCAAAGTCACTCATTTAAACACGCAATCCAAATACAGGCTCGCAGAGTTAAAACTACAATAACAGCAGAACAGTTTTCCTGTGCTTGTACTTTGTCTCCTCTGGTTCAATTAACCTCCTAGAGGAAAAATAGAGTCTCAGACATATCTCTCCATAGAACTAACTGAACACATGATAGGCAATCAATTTCATATTCATTGAATGAACCAATTTCTTTGGGACTTGGAACACTTACTAATTCAACAAACTCAATGACCAGGGTGTAGAGTGCGATGACCAATTAAAAAGTAGCCAATAAGTGAAGATGGGAGATGTCAGAAATCCTACTGTGTAGGACATTCCTCTGTAGTTAAATTCCCTAAGCATCAATGGGAAGGGGCACATTTGTGTGGCCACTATGGCAAGATGGTTGTAGGGTATTCCCTTCTGCCTCTACCTCTTTCTTCTCTGTCACAGCCATCATCATAATTGACAGCACCATTGCCGTCTTTAGACCCAGAAGTCTACTGCCCAGCCTTCAGCACAGGGCCTACTATTGCATAGGGGCACTCAGCAAATGTGTTTGGAATACAAGCGGTACTGGGAGCCCTAGCTCAGTCCTGGCTTTCCCCAGCCCATCACTGCTGAGCCCTGGAAGAGCTTAGTTTATTCTGCAGTATTTTCTCGGACACCCAAAAAACTGCTTTTTGCTCACCCTATGTCCTTTTCAGCTTTGAAAATGCAGTCTTATGCCTTTCCTGTTTTGTAAATGCTCTTTTGTCAAGATTCCAGGAAGTAGGCCACCTAATCAGAGTGGAGCTCACACTCAGCCAGACAGTGGAGGTGCAAAACTTGGCCTGGGAGACTCAGATAATCAGACGATGTTCCTCCCCTTTGGAGCCCCATGATGAAGGGCTAGCCACTGGGGATTCTGAAATTAAATAACCACTCAAGGGAGTGAGTCTTTTCTGTCCCTCTGTCTATTCCTATTTTGGCTGACTTTCTCTGTGAACCCTTGAGGGCTGTCTAATCTTGAGCAGCCACATTATGTAAACGTGTAGTTCAGAGACAACCTCCTCATTGTACTTGTTTTAGAAACGCAATAGAAACATGAGGAACTCAGACCTTGGTCGCCATGCCTGGCACATGCATCAGAAAGTCTTTGCATCTTTGCCCCTCTCACCTCTATCACAAATATGGTGGCCAGGATGCACTGGAATCCCAGCCCAGGCCTTTCACTTCCTGGCTGAATGAGCTTGGGCAAGCTCCTTAGCATCTCTAAAGCTCAGTTTCTTTAACTGTGGAATTAGATCTCCTGCGCAGTCCTTCGCACAAGGCCCAGCACACACGAGGTGAGCCATGAGCCTTATCTCCTGCTCTTACTATTATCACTATCATTACAACCGCTATTATTGCTGCCACTGCCACTACTACTACTACTACTACTACTACTACTATTACTAAAAGCTGTACCTCAGCCCCTACTGATGTATCTGTCTAGGCATCCACTCTGAGCCAGTGCTGTGAGGAGCACAGTGGGATTTCTGGAGCTCCATAAAAACCTAATAAAAATTAGCCACTCCTTCCCAGGCACCTCCGATCTGCTGCTGATAATGCTCTTCTGTGATTCCTGAGCTTTGGTGCTGGCGTAAGACTTTGTGTGGATTCCTCTGGTTGGTCCTTAGTCTCCTTGGAGGCAGTCTTAGACCTTGGTCACCCCAGGTCCAGAGATGTGCACCATTTGTTGACATCCCAGCATAGAACGGAGGCCAACCCAACCTCTGCTGCCCAGTTAGCTTTCCCCTGTGGTTGTCCTTACACCCTAGCTTAGAACACCACAGGCAACCACTTCAATCATGCCCTCCCATTCCCTAGGGCTAGGTCCTGTAGGAAGGCTGGAGACAGGAGCTAAGAGGAAAATCCTCTGTGCAGAGGAGAGTCACTGGAGGCAGCAGCTCAGGCCTGAGCTCCACTCCATATCTAGCTCGTCCTCCCCTGACTCTCCCCAGAGTGGGAACAGTTGTCTACTACGCTCGGCTTAATTCGAATGAGCCAGGGCTTTCCGCTTTAGCTCTAGGATGTGGTTGGAGTTCTACATTAGGGTGGCTCCCAGATAACCTGATTTTGAAATAATTCTCTAACATTCCACTCCATCACAATTCCCTAAGCTATGAAGGGCTGATACTTCTTTTTCCAAAACTTCTGATTTCCTTATAGTGATCAGGAAATTGTCAGGATAGCCAACCCTGAGCGTAGGAGTGAAACTCGGGGGTTTCCATACCTTGATGACTTCAGCCAAAGAGAGTTTCCCCAGAGGGCAGGGGAAGATGCTCTCCGCAGGTAGAGATGAGCTAAGGTCCCCATTCCAGCCCAGCCTCCAAGGATAGGACAGATAGTCTTATCCAAGAGAGAAAACTCAGCTGGAAGAAGTAAATGCCAACTGCCTGAAAAGACTAGTTGTTGAAGGATAACTTTGAGGTCTCCACAATCCAGGCCCTGCCTGATAAGGAAAGTCCCAGACAATCTCCTTGCTAGGGGGTCATGAAGACAATATATGGTCATTCCTGTTACCTTCCTGAGGTCCACTCCTTTCGTGGATAGCTGTGGCACTTAGCATGATCCAAAGAGTGACCCCTCTCACTCCTAGAGCTTCTTTCCTGGATCCAGATCTTGGAGAACACCTTTTTGTACTATAGACCGTTTATTTTTGATGGAAGGAAAAAAAGAACTAAAAATATGGAACGCTTCACGAATTTGCATGTCATCCTTGTGCAGGGGCCATGCTAATCTTCTCTGTATCGGAGAACACCTTTTTGTACTATAGACCGTTTATTTTTGATGGAAGGAAAAAAAGAACTAAAAATATGGAACGCTTCACGAATTTGCATGTCATCCTTGTGCAGGGGCCATGCTAATCTTCTCTGTATCGGAGAACACCTTTTTGTACTATAGACCGTTTATTTTTGATGGAAGGAAAAAAAGAACTAAAAATATGGAACGCTTCACGAATTTGCATGTCATCCTTGTGCAGGGGCCATGCTAATCTTCTCTGTATCGGAGAACACCTTTTTGTACTATAGACCGTTTATTTTTGATGGAAGGAAAAAAAGAACTAAAAATATGGAACGCTTCACGAATTTGCATGTCATCCTTGTGCAGGGGCCATGCTAATCTTCTCTGTATCGGAGAACACCTTTTTAAGGAGAATCATCCTCTCTCCAAGTTCTGGCCTAAATACCCCAGCTGCTCAATAAGACTGGATATTTGGGAGGCGTTTTCTTTGGAAAGGAAACCTGGGGTTTTCAGGTGAGCTTTCTCTGGATAAAGCCAGATCCTTGCTGATAGATAAGCAAGAAGGAGGCAGCCCTGGAAAAATAAAGCTGTAAGATCTCTGGAAGAGATAACTCTCCAGGCCCCTAATTAGGCAGCACTGATAAACTCCAAATTAGACCACTCCGGTCTGCAAGGACAGCATGTTACACTTGCTATCAGAAGAGCTTTGCTGCTGCAAAGGGCTTAGAGATCTCTTTCTACAAATTGCCCATGGCCTCCAGCAAGAGAAAGGAGATAGTGGAGGGACGCCCTTTTCCGGTGTCCTGGGCTCAACAGGGATAAAAGGAGGCAGCACCTCGGCATCTTACCGTGTGTTCGCTGTCGACTTGGTGACTGCTCCTCTCCAGCTCTGTCTGCTCCGCTGTTTCCATCATGAGTCGGCAACTGAACTTCAAGTCTGGTGGTGACAAGGGCACCTTCAGTGTGCACTCAGCAGTGATGCCAAGGAAGGCCGTGGGCAGCCTGACTTCTTACCGTGCAGCTGGCAAAGGGGCTGGGACTGGCTTTGGCAGCCGGAGCCTCTATAGTCTCGGAGGGAATCGGAATGTTTCTTTCAGTGTGGCTGGTGGTGGAGTTCGGGCTGGGGGTTACAGCTTTGGGCTTAGCTCTGCGTATGGAGGGGGCCGGGCTAGTGGCTTTGCCGGCAGCATGTTTGGCAGTGTGGCCCTGGGGCCCACGTACCCATCCATATGCCCACCCGGGGGCATCCACCAGGTCACTGTCAACAAGAGCCTCCTGGCACCTCTCAATGTAGAGCTGGACCCTGAGATTCAGAAGGTGCGCGCCCAGGAGCGGGAGCAGATCAAGGCGCTGAACAACAAGTTCGCCTCCTTCATCGACAAGGTGGGTCTGCTAGAGACAGCAGAGCATAGAGCGCCTGCTCCCCCACCTTCGCTGCCCTCAGGAGGGCTCCCCATGGATGCAGAGGAGGGTGGGGCTCCTTCCCAAGCTGCAGACAGAGCCTAGGCCAGAGCAGGGAGGATCTGGTTGAAGGCCTGGACATCAGAGCTGAGGGACGGCAGGCAAGGGGGCGGGGGGAGAGGAGTGAGAGCTTAGCATGAGGGACTAACAGATCCTAGCACTGTTCAGAGTGAAGGATTGATGTTACAGAAAGAAACACAGTTGAGATGGAAGGAAGAATATCTGTGACCTGGCAATCCCCAAACCCTATAGAATCTCTTCCTTCAGTGCATTTTCAGTGACTGGCTGTCCAGAGGGCTACGGAAGGAGCACTTAGAAAGAATTGTATTTGCATAGATGCCAAGAGTAGAGAGTCAGGACTTGAGCAAAAGGACTTTACACAACCCATTTAACCCAGGAGTCAGTGGGTTATGTCCAGGCGCCATGATAGCATCCACTGGGTTTCCCGGTGTGTGTTTTGGGTTCCAGGTGCGGTTCTTAGAACAGCAGAACCAGGTACTGGAGACCAAGTGGGAGCTGCTGCAGCAGCTGGACCTCAACAACTGCAAGAAGAACCTGGAGCCCATCTTTGAGAACTACATTAGCACCCTGCGAAGGCAGCTGGAGACGCTGTCTGGGGACAGAGTGAGGCTGGACTCGGAGCTGCAGAGCATGCGGGACTTGGTGGAGGACTACAAGAAAAGGTGAGCAGGGACTACGAATGGTTGTGAGTCAAGGCTCTAGGCTCGCATAATCTCTGCCTTATTTTAGGAGGGGAGAAAGCAAGCTGCAGGGTCAGGCATGCATATCCCCTTCCCTGATTATGAGGGGGGAAGATCTACTGTATTTGATGAGAACTTCCCGTATGGTTTATAGGAAGGAGTTCCTGTGCTCACTGATACCCTGGATGGTTCAGATGCTAGTTTAGAAAGCCCACAGGCATCTGGGTATTTTTCTAGGATGCAGTGAGTGATATGCAAGGGACATCTTCCTCCTAAGGTCCTGCTGGGGACTCTGTATCCTGAGCCCTTGCCCAGAATGGGAAGAAGAGGTTACTCAGCCAAGGACATTGAGACCTCTGTCATCCTCTCTCCCTGACCAGATACGAGGTGGAGATTAACCAGCGTACAGCAGCTGAGAATGAGTTTGTGGTGCTCAAGAAGGTAAGGGAGAGAAGAGCCCATGGACCCTGGTCTTCCTCTCTTCTCCCTGCCCCCCATCCCTGCTGTATGGTATATATACTTGAGAGGGAGGGGAGCGAGAGAGAGGAGAGGAGAGGAGAGGAGAGGAGAGGAGAGGAGGGAGGGAGGGAGGGAAGGAGGGAGAGAGAGAGAGAGAGAGAGAGAGAGAGAGAGAATTCTTGCAGGGGTGATGGCCATGCCACAATTCCTTCTCCTCCAATCTCCTCTTGGGATTTTGGCCACACTTGCACATGTGCTGGCAAGTTTTTTCAAGCTACCAGGTCTGAGACTTAAACCTCACAGCCGGCTGTGTGGAACCCAGCTACTTAACCACCAGTGCACCAAATGGCCTGAACGTGGTCTTTCTTACACTCCTAGGTTGCTAAACAACTCTGCTCTGGGCTTCAGCCCAGGATGCCTGGGGAGGGGGCTGGTGCCTGAATGAAGGTGGGGTCATAGCCTTGGCCTCTGGTGAGGTGGAGAGGAAGGATACATGTCTAGGAAGTGGATAAAGACAGATGGGAGAGAATTCCAGTCCGGTCATTGGGAAACTGTCCAGCTTGGCTTCCCTGTGTGATTTGAGGAAATCCAATCCCCTCTGGGCTTTGTTTTCTCCGGGTGTAACAGAGGGAGAGCAGCCTTCCATTCTCTTTTTTCTAGTCTCAAAGATTTAGTGAATTTGGGAGAAAATTGACACTAAGTGACTCCAGTCATCAATATACTCTCCTTTGTGGTTGAAACAGGAATTCAGATGGCTTTGGGGTAGGGTCAGAATCAGGGCAGCTGATGGAATGAGGGTTGTATTGACTATGGCTCTGCGTGCCTCTTGGCAGGACGCAGATGCAGCCTACACGGCCAAGGTGGAGCTTCAGGCCAAAGTGGATTCTCTGGACAAAGACATCAAGTTCCTCAAGTGTCTATATGATGCGGTGAGGACACATCTATTTCCCAACCCCGACCCCTGCCTCTTCCAAGCTGAAGGCTTTACCTGACTCATCCAGGGAGATGCCACTGGGAGGGACTTAGGATAAACATAAAGAAAGATACGCTGATGGGAAGATGCAAAACTCTGCACTGGGAGCCCATGGAAGTACAGGACCTGGTCCCTAGAGGTCACACACACAGAACACAATGATCTAGGACATGATGGTAGCCTTGCCCACACAGAAAACATTGATGCCATGAGGTCCTACTAAGCACAGAGTTTGGGCTCTGTGCAATTGCAGGAAATGCATCCTTTCTCCAAGCACAGCCTCCCACTGCCCGTGTGAGGTGCTGCTTTTGGCTATGAGCTGTATTCCCTTAGCCCTGCAGGCTCAGCTTCGATGGCCGCTTCTTCCTCCATTTTGGCCCTGTGGTTCTAAGTTACCCACTCTGTCAGGGACTACAATCTCCGAGGAGGACTGGCAAGACAGAGAAGAGGCCAGGGGATCCTGACTCTGTCCTCATTTCTTGACTCAGGAGGTGGCCCAGATCCAGACTCATGCCAGTGAGACCTCTGTCATTCTATCCATGGACAACAACCGGGACCTGGACCTCGATAGCATCATCACTGAGGTCCGCGCCCATTATGAGGAGATCGCCCTGAAGAGCAAGGCTGAGGCCGAGGCGCTGTACCAGACCAAGGTGGGCACTTGGTGGATCCCCCCTCCACCAGCCCCTCCCTTCCTGAGAAGGGTCACCTCCACCTGTGGATGTGAGAGATACCCTTGTAAGTGTGATGAATGAAAGAATCCTATAGCCAACGGTTCATCAACACTCAACCATGAAACCATGCAAGAATTCTGATAACGTGGGTTTGGATGGACATATCCAACAGCGGGGGAGACAATTCTCTAATGGAGCAAGGACGTGAGGTGGTCCTATCATAAATCAAGGCATTTACAGGAATTGGGTCACAGTGCCCTAGGGCAGAAGGAGAGTCACAAACATGGAGGAGAGTGGCTATGGGTGAGTTGGAGTGGGGAGGGGAGCAAGAGAAGGTATCTCCCTTAGGTTTTTTTCTGGTCAGCATGGGAAGACTTCCAAGAAGAAGCAGTGGAATTCTAGGAGTATTCTGAGAAATGAAATTATACTCTGTAGTAAAACCTTCTGGGGCTGTCAGGGGCAGACCTGGTATCTGAGCAGTCTCCTGGGCCCCTGCTCTAGCATTCCACCTTCCGTGAACCCCACCCACAGCAAGGAGGACCAGTGTGGCTCATCCTCACTCTGTCTCCTCCTGTTCCTGCTCTCCATCCATGGCCATGTCACTCTCTCTTCCCTGCAGGACAGAGCACAGAGAAGGGGAAGCAGTTGAGCCACAGGTCCTGAGTCAACAAGCCCACCAAGGTCCACTCACCTTCCCAAGGGTACATGGGACCTTTGGCTTCCCTGTCCATCTGTCCTTCTTACCGAGAAAGAGCTGAAGGGAATACAAGTTTCATTAGTGCAGGACCAACACCTACAATATCTCCTGTTCCTGGAACAGAGCTGGGCCTTTAGGAGATGTCTCTGCAAATACACGTTTGTATTAAATGAAGGAAGCAGAGACTCAGACCTCTTCATGCATTTAGGAAGTGTTGAATCCATGTGAACTGCATCTTCCCTTTATCCAGGGCAGGTAGAGTGCAGGCCAGGAGGTGAGACAGGATGTGAGGCCTGGCAGATAGTTCTGCTTAGAGAAGAGGAGAGGCTTCATGTTCAGAACCACTACCAGATAGCTGGAAGGATGCTCAGGTCCTGGATCCATTTCCTCCTGCTCTGGGGTCACCCTGGTTTGCTCTAGCAGTGGAAGTGTTTGCAGTTTCCCTGCCTTATCTCATCACCTACTTCCTATCTCTTGGAAACTAGATACAGGAGTTGCAGTTGGCAGCTGGGCGGCATGGAGATGACCTCAAACACACCAAGAACGAGATGTCAGAGCTGAACCGGCTCATCCAGAGGATCCGGTGTGAGATTACAAATGTGAAGAAGCAGGTGAGAAGCAACCCTGCAAAGAACGTCCAGGTTCAATCTCATCATCTGTGATGGAGAAATTGGGCCCATCCTTTAGGAAAGAAAAGATCTCTTCCGCCTGGCTTGGGGGCCCCTTAGCCAACCTCTGGTTTGTTCCTCTTTCCTACCCTTCCTTAGTACCCTGCTATATGAACTGGGAGGAGCCTTGAGCCCATTTCTCTGACTCCCCAATTTATAAATAAGATAACTGGGTTGGAGAGGGCAAGTGAGTTGTCCAGAGCTCCAGCTGGTTAACAACAAGCCAGGATTAGAACCTGGGAGTCCTTTTTCTCAGACTTTTCAGGTGTCTCATACAACCCTTCAGGGAAGCCCCTCTGAGGAAAGTCCTGGTGCCTATTCCTGCCCCTGGACAGAGAATATGAGTAGGGTGCATGGGGCGTGCACCAGGGCCCTCTGTGGCTACGTTAGGTTCCTGCCCCCAGATTGGGCATAGACCTGGTGATGGAGGCACTCGGCAGCAGAAGACGCCCTCCTGGGCTCGTCCTGTGCTCCATGCCACAGCACCATTTCATTTCACCTGGGGCACTCTGTCTCGCCTGAAAACAGCAGCAAATCGTAAACACTGTATCAGTGGGGAGATCCTTTTAGAGGTAGATCCTTCCTGTGACCTCCCAAAGAAACTGTTCAACTCTGTTATGATAGAATCACCAAAGAGGAAAAGCAGACCCTGTTCTCCCCTGTCCCCTCCAAACCCTCCATGCAAAGTGGGCAACACAAGGGTGGTTTTAAGACTCTACTTTTGGCCAGTTCAAAGACTCTACGAGGACTGTCCCTTCCCCTGTTAGCATTTGGCATCACAATGTCCCAAATGTTCATCAGAGTTTGGTTTCTGAGGTTGTGGTTATAATTTAGGGTCTTAACCTCCTGCTCTAAGGAGGACTCCCTTGCTCAATACTTCCGCATGTGGAAGTATTTAGACTAACCCTCCCTGCAGAGTGCTGGAAGAGTCCAGAAACACTCACTATAGGTGTAACATGTAAGAAGGGTTCCCGTGGGGAGATAACTTGCAGCAGAACTCTGCTCACAATGGGGCCTCTGGACTGCTCTCTGATCCTCAGGGGTGTCCTGGCTGGAGTCTTGGGCTTAGTTCTCTTGGACCTGGTGTATCTGGAGCCTATAGTCATTGTGACCTCCAACCCCAGGCACTAGACAACTTTGCAGACATTAGAGTTTCTTTCTTCACTCCAAAAATGCAGCTTCCCCCACAGCTTCCCATGACAAGTCCTTTAAAAATGTATCTGCAATAGAAAATAGAGGAGATCCAGGTCCTGTTAGGGGCTCTGCAGCTCTTACTCAATGTGACCCTGAGCTTCATGTGTAAAATGAGGAAGTTGTGCTATTTCATCTGTATGATATAAATATTATCTCATGTTCAGACTATCTCGCTCTTCCCTGCCCTTCAGTGTTCCAACCTGGAGACAGCCATTGCTGATGCTGAGCAGCGGGGGGACAATGCTCTCAAGGACGCCCGGGCCAAGCTGAACGAGCTGGAGGGTGCCCTGCACCAGGCCAAGGAGGAGCTGGCCCGGATGCTGCGTGAGTACCAGGAGCTCATGAGCCTGAAGCTGGCCCTGGACATGGAGATCGCCACCTACCGCCTCAGACTTTTCAGGTGTCTCATACAACCCTTCAGGGAAGCCCCTCTGAGGAAAGTCCTGGTGCCTATTCCTGCCCCTGGACAGAGAATATGAGTAGGGTGCATGGGGCGTGCACCAGGGCCCTCTGTGGCTACGTTAGGTTCCTGCCCCCAGATTGGGCATAGACCTGGTGATGGAGGCACTCGGCAGCAGAAGACGCCCTCCTGGGCTCGTCCTGTGCTCCATGCCACAGCACCATTTCATTTCACCTGGGGCACTCTGTCTCGCCTGAAAACAGCAGCAAATCGTAAACACTGTATCAGTGGGGAGATCCTTTTAGAGGTAGATCCTTCCTGTGACCTCCCAAAGAAACTGTTCAACTCTGTTATGATAGAATCACCAAAGAGGAAAAGCAGACCCTGTTCTCCCCTGTCCCCTCCAAACCCTCCATGCAAAGTGGGCAACACAAGGGTGGTTTTAAGACTCTACTTTTGGCCAGTTCAAAGACTCTACGAGGACTGTCCCTTCCCCTGTTAGCATTTGGCATCACAATGTCCCAAATGTTCATCAGAGTTTGGTTTCTGAGGTTGTGGTTATAATTTAGGGTCTTAACCTCCTGCTCTAAGGAGGACTCCCTTGCTCAATACTTCCGCATGTGGAAGTATTTAGACTAACCCTCCCTGCAGAGTGCTGGAAGAGTCCAGAAACACTCACTATAGGTGTAACATGTAAGAAGGGTTCCCGTGGGGAGATAACTTGCAGCAGAACTCTGCTCACAATGGGGCCTCTGGACTGCTCTCTGATCCTCAGGGGTGTCCTGGCTGGAGTCTTGGGCTTAGTTCTCTTGGACCTGGTGTATCTGGAGCCTATAGTCATTGTGACCTCCAACCCCAGGCACTAGACAACTTTGCAGACATTAGAGTTTCTTTCTTCACTCCAAAAATGCAGCTTCCCCCACAGCTTCCCATGACAAGTCCTTTAAAAATGTATCTGCAATAGAAAATAGAGGAGATCCAGGTCCTGTTAGGGGCTCTGCAGCTCTTACTCAATGTGACCCTGAGCTTCATGTGTAAAATGAGGAAGTTGTGCTATTTCATCTGTATGATATAAATATTATCTCATGTTCAGACTATCTCGCTCTTCCCTGCCCTTCAGTGTTCCAACCTGGAGACAGCCATTGCTGATGCTGAGCAGCGGGGGGACAATGCTCTCAAGGACGCCCGGGCCAAGCTGAACGAGCTGGAGGGTGCCCTGCACCAGGCCAAGGAGGAGCTGGCCCGGATGCTGCGTGAGTACCAGGAGCTCATGAGCCTGAAGCTGGCCCTGGACATGGAGATCGCCACCTACCGCAAGCTGCTGGAGGGCGAGGAGTGCAGGTGAGTCTGACGGGGATACCATGTTGTCAAGTAGGAAGGGGCTGGGGGTGGCACTCACCCACCTGGCTGAGGGACCATCTGGGAATGAGAAATAGCCTCTCTGATGACAGCACGAGCAAGGAAGGTGGTAGTCTGACTGGTGAGCTCAGCTGCAGTTTCCTGTAAGGGAGGATCGGATGTGTGCCAAGGAGCACAGGCAGGCTTTGGGTGTCATAAAGGGAGTCAGTGGGTCAGACAGGTCTGGGTTTCCTTACTGACTTCGCCTTGCGCTGGTCCCATACGCAAATGGTTAAGGGAACCAGATCCACGTGACTTACCATGGTTTGAATACTTGTACTTATAGCCTGGAAAACGTGCTGAGGGTCTGCACGTGTGTGCTCCAAATCACGTGTGATCATGCCCCATTGCGGGTGGGAGAGTGTGTTTCCTCCTTCTCTGTCTCTCTAGCTCTTCCTGGGAAGTGAATGCACCTTCCAGAAAAAAAAATATTGGTTGCCTCATTCTAACCTGTGATGGCCCTGGTAAATCATTTAAGGTCTCTATTTTCTTAGCTGCAAAATGGAGGTAATAATCTCTATTGGCTGTTAAAAGAATGAATTAAAGTGATATGTATGTAATAGCAAGAGCCCATTAAGGGTTAGCTGAATCTAAACAATTTTTTGAGGTGGTGTTCTTCAATTTTCTGCCTTACAGGATGTCTGGTGAGAATCCATCCTCTGTGAGCATCTGTGAGTATCTTTGAGAGATGGATTGGGGTGGAAGCTGGGGACCCTGGAATAAAACAATGCCACCCCCACTCATTGTCTCTTCTCATCCAGAAGTTTGTTACTGTCTTGTGAAGGTTCTCTGGCTTTGAAGGAAACCTGTTTACTTTTTGTATGGAAGCCATGACTGAAATCAGGTTCACCCCTCCTTCTTTATTTCCCCTGGGGCACTGTCCTCTAGAGAAAGGATTCGTAATATGCATTTCTAGAATCTTCAGGAGGGCAGGGATTGTCTATCCTTTGTGGTCCCCACTCCATGCGAAGTCTGGCATGCAGAAGGGTCCCTATTCACCTCTGTTGTGTTTCTTGACTTCTGAGAGTTGTGGGGATTAAAGAGGCTGTCTGTTGCAGAGGAAGCCCCCGGGGAAAGCAGTTACTTAGGTTATCACTTGCTGATTGACATCTGCTTCTCTGTCCCCTGCTTTTGGCCTGTCCTCCTCAGCTGTCATCAGCAGCAGCAGCGGCTATGTCTACCACCCAAGCTCTGTGACCACGGACCTGGGACCTAGCAGTGTGGCAGGCAGCTCCAGCAGCACCCAAAGTGGGCAGACCAAGGCCAAAGGGGCACCAGTGGGAGACCTCAAGGACTCCCAGAACAAGAGCACTTCAGTCAGCTCCCCAGCCAGAAAGACCACCCGATAAACCTGCCACCCCACTCACCTCAGTGCCTGGAAGAAGAGACGACTTGGCAAAGATGTCTGCCATACCCAAATCCTCGATCCCTGGGTGTTAGGACTACCTATAGTGCATTTGGTCCGCATTGTGGCTTATCTTACTTTCGAGTTCCAATCGCCGTGGTCACCTTCCCTGTCTCATGAGGTTCTGTGTGAACTCTGTGACTTCTCATTTTCCTTGCTGTCTTCAGCTGGCAGGATGCTCTGGAGGCACAAGCCATAATTACTACTTGGCCCTAAGGAAGCTGTGATCATCCCTAAAGAGAGGAGGAGGGAGAGACGGAGGAGACAGATATGGGATAGTTTTGTTCTGTGCTTAGGCCAAGTTAGCAACTCTGAGAGGTTTTACTTCCCATGCTGGCTTGGAGGGGAGAACATAGAGCCATAAACCAGGGGGTGAGACGGTGGACAGCTTATACGTGCCCTGCTAGACTGACTCCAAAGCTTAGAAGAAAATGTGCACATTCTTAGACCACCAGCGGCACCCATATTCACACAGCCAGCGAGAATTGGAAATATTTGCCTCCTGTGTCCCTGCTTGCGTCCTTACTGTCGGTAGTAGCTGCTACCACTTGTTAAGCACCTACTGTGGTCCGGAACTCACCCGAATTGCTCTGATTCTCACCTGATCCTGCCAGGGAGATGCGGTCAGTGTCCTGGGTACAGACAAGGAGCCCGATCCTCTGAGAGGCTGAAAGCCTTGCCCCAGACACTTGCCCACATGCCACAGCCAGGCCTGGCTGACCTGCGGGTCTGGGTTCTTTCCATGGCATGTTGCTGTGTCTTTAACAAAGGGAACGTCAAGGTCGCTGCTCTTTTTGATGAGTGCAACATAATTATGTAATTACTCTGTCTTTTGTCAGGGCTGTGGGTATGCGATCTACCTTTGGTCCTCCCTCTGGGGCTATGTCCTACAGCAGCTTTTGACTCACAATTCTTATTGCCTTATGCTGAGTTCAGTGAGTGGAGCTTGATCTTCTGTCTCTGAATGGTACTGCCAGTCCAGAAGTCATGGTTCATGGTATAAATATTTCTAAAAATAGCAGCACCTAGTCCCTCTTTTGCTTGAATTAGGGACTGAATTTCTGCTGTATATTCAATAAACTGCCCTTGAGTGATGTCAGAGATGTGTTTTTGTCAGTCTGTCAATGCCCCCAAATGCTTCACTTCCTACTGACAAAGTACCACACTTGCACAGTGCATAGCCTCTCTGGAGAGCTGGAGGGTGATCCAGAGGAGGCTGCTCAGGAGGTGGTCTCAGGCTGCTGACAGAGACAGATACACACCCAAAGTCAGGCACTCCTGCAAACCAAGGAAGGACAGCCTAGTGCAGAAGTGATGAGAAGTGACCAGAATGGAGAGGCTAAGCAAGGAAGGCTTCCTGGAAGACGAGGAATTAACCAAAAAACTAGAAAGATGGGAACATGACTCCTGAAGGGAGAATGAAAATCATGCCAAATCATGCCATGTATGTTTGGATGCAGTTGTTATGTGCTTACTGGTGGGGGCTGGTAGGTCTTAGATTTTCTGAAGTCAATAGCGAGGCTTGATGGGTTTCAAGGTCCCTTGTCTTTGGCTGGCAACATTTAACCCTCTGGTCAGCTTTCTAGTTAATCACATGTTATAGGTGGCTCAGACATGTTTGCTCTTCTGCTCCTCAGGACAACAGGGCAAGGCCTTAGGAGGGAGGGGGGCCTCTGACCAAAGTAGTAGCCTCCATTAACCCTCAGTGTGCCTTTCATGTATTAAGGAGGCTTTCTTCTGTGTGGGCCAGGATGCAGTAGGTCCAGGCACTGTGGGACTGGACTTGTGCCCTGGGAGTTATGGGGGCTCCGCTCCAGCTCTGCTGCTATAGTTGGTGGTTCTTAACCTTGTTGGTCATGGACTCCTTTTTTTTTTTTTTTTTGAGAGGTTTTTGCTATAGGGCGCATGCACTCGCCAGACAGACAGAGAGAGACAGAGAGACAGAAAGCGAGAAATCACCCCCCAGGGGGGATGACCACGCCGCAATCCCTTCTCCTCCATTCTCCTCTCGGGATCTTGGGCATGCATGTACATGTGCCCAGTGTGAGTTTTAAGCCACCAGGTCCAGGACGCGAACCGCGGTCAACTACATGGGAATCCAGCGACATAGCCATTATGCTAACTGCTGGTCCCATGGACTCCTTTGATGAAAGCTGTGGATCGTCTCCATGAAAAGTGTGTAGAATCAAGATGGCATATTCAGAGTCTCCAAAAGCCCATTGGTGAACTCCCTGGGTCACACAGCTCTGTTTGAGAGCTCCTGGACCAGATAGCCCTTGGGCCCTTCCTAGCACAGATGTTTTGCCTTTCCCCAAAGACCAGATTCCCACTGAGTGGCCCAGGAAGAGGGGATGAAGTAAGGAGGTGAATGGGAATCATCACCTGAAATAGCCTCTGCAGGAATACGTGAGCCACCTGTGAAATTGCCTCTTCCGAAGCCACGGTGTAGGTGTGCCTCCGACTGCCAGGTACTTCTGTCCTGTGATGCTGGTCTGTGAGGTCAGGGTGTTGCACCCAGCCCTGGATGCAAGGGCCCAGGGACTAAGGCAGGATGATGAATGTGTTCTCTGATAGGATGTTTTTGAGGGTAGAAAGGGCAGTCTCCCTGACTGTGGCTTGTCTGCCTGAGAAATGGAGATATTCTTTGCCTTTCAAGCTTAATTAAGATCCTGAGTAGTATACAGAAATGATCGTGCTCCAGCTTCAGGACTCAGTATAGAGATTCCTTTGAAGCCCAAGAGGCAGGACCAGACATGGCCATTAATTTTAATTCTATGCATCTATGACCATTTTGACAAAGAAGATAAGATCCTTCAATGGGGAGAGAAGACTCTCCAAAAAATGGTATTAGGACAATTAAATAGCCACATGCCAGAGAATAAAGCTAAACTTCTATTTCACACCATATATGAAAAATAGTAAAAATGGATTAACAACCTAAATATAAGAGTTAAAACAGTAAAACTCTTGGGCCAGCAAATGGTGTAATAGTTACGTTGCTGGACTTCAACAAGGTTGACTGCAGTTCGAGTCCCAAACCCAGCAGCTTAAAACTCACGCTGGGTGTGTGTGCACGTGCATACCCAAAATCATGAGTGGAGAATGGAGAAGGGATTGTGACATGGCCATCCCCAATGGTGGGGTGATTTCTCACTTTCTGTCCGTCTGTCACTCCAGTGAGCACATGCACCCTATAACAGAAAATCTCTTTTAAAAACAAACAAATAAAACAAAACAAACTAATAAAACTCTTAGAAGAAAATAGAGTAAATTTTCATGATGTTGGATTTGTCAGTGGGTTCTTAGATATGATACCAAAAGCATACACAAAGAGAAAAAAGAGAAATTAAACTCCATAAAAGTTAAAAAAAAAACCTGTGTATTAAAAGACATCAAGAAAGTGAAAAGAGGGAACCAGCAGTTAGCGTAATGGCTATGTCGCTGGACTCCCACGTAGTCGACCGCAGTTCACGTTCCGGACTCGGTGGCTTAAAACTCACACCGGGCGCATGCGCATGCGTGCCCAAGATCCCAAGAGGAGAATGGAGGAGAAGGGATTGTGGTGTGGCCATCCCCCCTGGGCGGTGGGAGTTCAGTGCCTTAAAAATGGGCAAAGACTTTCTACAAAGAAGATATATAAATGATCAACAAGCACATGAAGAGATATTCAACATAATTATTCTTCTGGAAAATGCAACTCAAACCATAATGAAGTACCTATACCTATTTATATCCAGTAGGATGACCAAAATTTTAAAAAATAGCAAATAAGTATTGGTGAGGATTGAATACTTTGTACATTGCTGGTGGGAATGTAAAATGGTTTAGCCACTGTGGAAAATTGCTTGATGGTTTCTCAAAAAGTTAAACAAAATTGTTATATGACTCAGAAATTCCATCCCCAGGCAAATGTACAAAGAAATGAAGACAGGTGTTCAAACAAATACATGCACATGCATGTTCGTAACAGTACTATTTGCAATAGCCAAAGATGGAAACAGCCCAAATATCCATTAATAAATGAATGGGAAAAGTTGTCGTATGGATGTACAGTGGAATATTATTCAACCATAGAAAGGAATGACGTATTGATACATGTTACAACCTGAATGACTCTCGGAAATGCTATGTGAAGTGAAAGAAGTGAGACAAAAAGGTCACCTGTTATATGATTCCATCCATATGAAATATACAGACAAGGCAAATCCGTACCAACAGAATGCAGATTCGTAGTTGCTGAGACTGAGGAAGGGGAAATAAAATGTGGCTGCTCATAGGTACCAGGGTTTCCTTTTAGGGCAATGAAAATGTTTTGGAAACAGATAAAGAGGGTAGGTAGCAAACTATGGTGAATATATTAAATGCCACTAAACTGTTCATTTCAAATGGTTAATTTTATTTTATACGAATCTTGTCCCATTAAAAATGATAAAAATTGGAGGAGTAGCGGAGAAGAGGGAAGAGAAACTGTATTCCTGAACTTTGCTTCCAGCTCTTGCCACCGTATGGCAAACGGCAACCTGATATAAAGTTAGAGGGAGCTGTCCAGAACCGGTGGGGGATGGAGACAATTTACTCTCTCTGACCAACTAAGGGCAAACCTGGAGAACTGGGGGGGAGGGGGGGTCAGGGAGCCATATTTCCAATGGTCAAGACCTGATTGTCCATCTGGAGATTTCACTACTGCCCAGATGAGGGCAACCATAGGCTCTTTCAGATAGTTAAGTGCTGGTTGACCTTCGTACCTGTATCTCAGGCTTTAGTCTCGGAGAGCAATGCATAGCATGCCTGTCAGAGCCCTTGATGAACGCTTGCTGAGTTGAAACAACAGAAGTCAACACACTACGGCATTCCATTTACCTGCCAAGGCTAGGACCTCTGCACAGTGTCTTGGGCCAGGATTTTGAATGTACATCTTGCTGAAATCCCCAAACTTACTTTCTT